TCGGCCGTCACGTTCGGGTTGTTCCAGATGCCGGGAAACACGATCGTTTGGACGAGCGGAAACGCGCTGCAAAAGCGGCGGCCTTCGCCCACGCAGTACGCTTCCGAAAACGTCTGTGCAGCGCCGTGAGGGTACGCATCGTCGTAGTTGCGGTACATTGGATTTGACGGACCATGAAATGCGTTAGAACTCCAGAGGCTGTCGGTGTAGTTGAACTGTGGCGCCTTGTCCGAGGCGAAGAAGGTTTCCATGCGGTGCTGGTACGTCGTGAGCGCTGGTGCGGTCTCGATTGCGCTCGTTGTCTTGGCAACACCGTTGACGGCCAAACCCAAAAGCACGCTGGCGCAGACGACCTCGAGGATCAAAAGCACAAGGCAAAACGTGGGTGACGGTACCAAGCGCGTCCAGACGAGGTGCATGAGACCCAGCGCCGCAATTACGATCGCAGTAATCGCTGCGCCAATGGCATGCGGCATCACGATGAGTGCGCCGTACATGGAGGCGTCGAGGGCGACGACGCAGGCGCCGTACGCAGCGACGACGACAAAGGCGATCGCGACGGCTACGGTGGTGCGTGTGGGCTTGGGCATATTGAGGAATGACGCGTTGATGGTGAAGCCACGGTCCTGTCCACGCCCGTGCGACTGGACAAAGGTCAATGTCCTGGAGCTTGATCCCGTCCACTTCAGTTTGTCCAGATCAGGTCCACTAAGTTTGCCTGTCGCTTCACTCGATGATGCGCATCGTCGCACCAATCTTTAAAACTCGTGCCACGAATAGTGTGAATTCGTCCCTAGAAGGACCTTATTCATACGTAATATTCATCCTCTGGCATCGCAAAAAGTTGCATCCACTATGTTTTATTTAATTACATGCAAAGACAACGCTAAAAACGATAAATTTGGTATTTTTATTAAAGGAATACGATCCCCAACGGCGACATTCGCTTCAAAATATTACTAGAATGCGTACGAATAGCGTGCGAAAACGTACCACGAATTCCGACCGCCACGCAAAGAAAGGCAGGGAACACAATCCGACAACTCGCATGGCGCCCCAAGGTACGGCGCGACTTAGCGCGGCCTGCGCCCACACGTGCGCTTCTAGTCGTAGCCAGCAACAGCGTGCATGAGATCGACGCTCCGTGGTCGCCAACAGCGGACGCGCCTGCGACGCCGCCGCCCGTAGCCCGCTCTTGCCCCAGCGCCCACTCACACCTCTGTAGGAGACGCCACCGACGCCGTGTCCGCATACGTTCCGCACCAACGACGGTACGCTGCACGGCTTCTTTGCGTCGATGTTTCTCTACTCGGCGGGTCCGTTCTGCTGCTGCACGCGTCAGCGTCGGTGCATGCAGTGCGGCGCCGTCTTGGATGCGGAGAACCGCGCGATCGAGCGGTCGTACAGCGATAGCGACACTGACGAGTCGCACGGTAATATGCCAGGCGACGCGCCCAGTGAGACAACGCCGATATTGCCACGACCGTGAGAACCCAGATCTGAGCGCCAAAGTGCAATATGAGCGCCAAAGGGCCATATGAGCGCCAAAGTGCAATGTCGAGTAAATAAGAAGTCGATTGATATGGTTAGTACAGCGTCTCGATGAGCTTTTCATACTTGTTGGCGACGACATGCCGATGGACGAGATCGCCGTCAAGCGATAACTCGGGCGGCCCGAGGTCCTGAGGCAGCAGCAGCCACTTCCGCAACGGAAACACCGCAACAAGACTGAACGGTGTGCCTAATTGCATTCGATTTTGGTACCGGACGTATCACATGCATGCAAACCTGCCGCATCGCCGAGGGTCGCGAGGGGCGCTTGGTTGACCTGCTCGAGCAGCTGGTCCAGCGCGACCGCCCAGATCGGACACCGCAGCACCTACAACGATGTAGCATTTGGCATCGTCGAGGGGTCACGTGATTGTGCATACTTCAGCGATGGTCAGTGCTTTGCTGCCGAGCGTCCGGCCCTTCTCGATGGCATCGTCGACGAGCTTGTCTTTTTTGGTCTTGAGCACGAGGAGGACCGTCAGATACGTGTGACCATCCCCCACCACGACCGCGCGCTGGAGGTACGGGGCCTAGCCAAAATCGTCGCTTGAGCCAATACGTCATACGATTAAAACAAAGTGTACCCGTCGCAGAAGAAGAGCCTCGTAGGGCGCCGGTGGGATACGGTCGCCAGACGCGAGGATGATGAACTCCTTGTGGTGGTTGATAACGACGTAGCCAAACGGGTTGAGGCCGCCGTACTGGAAGCTGTGCCACGCATTGTCGGCGCCTCGCACGTGGTTGCAGACATTGCGGCCCTTGTAGCACAGCTAGATCATAATAAACTTATTGGTCTATACCAGTTGAAAACGTGGTACCTGATACTCGGTGCCACTTGGTGACTCGGCGAGCGCGATGATCGTACCCGGGAGCGGCTTGCCGCTGGACCCGAGCGCCCACGCATTCGGGGCGTTGACACTGGCGAAGCCCGACGTTTCGACCGACCCATCCAGTTGGTACAGAGGTAAATCCGCCTACATGGACGCTACAACAGCCGTCGCAGGCATAAGAAGGGTACGGTGCTGAAGAGCTCGATCTTGTCGAACGCGAGCTTGGCGAGGACGACCCCGCAGAAGCGACAGCTGTCGAGGCCCAGCTTCTTCTTCATCGACGCGAGCACAAGTCTATGTGCATCACATCACCTCTGAACATCGGAAATGCACGACATACTTGTTGGCGAGCGAGTGGCCAAGCGACGCCTTTGCCTTGCTGCGGGGACCGCCCACTTGCAGCCTACACACCGCCACGGTCGTCTTCAGAAGACTAGTACATGTGTTCCTACTTGGCCGCGTGGTGCACAGCGCGGGTCTTGGCCCAGGCGTAGAGCACCGAGTGGGCTTGGGCTTTGATGGTGACGAGCTGGCGACCCAGTGCTCTACGCAACATAATAGAATGATCTCATTGCTAGAACGAGCGACCGTACGTCCACGTGGCCGGCGTGCCAAAGAAGAGCGTGGGTTGGATCTGCTTGAGCGTCGACGGCGACGCGTCACCTTCCACGCAGTACAAGACGGGGCCACCCCCGAGTGCGATCGAGAGGTACCACTCGATGATCTGCGACGATACAAAATGCAGCGGGAGGTAGCTACACAAATGCTCAACGCGCGAAAAAGCAGGACGGGGACCTACGCAATGATACGATCGGTGGGTCCCACGTCGATCTGCAGCCCCTCGGCCAACTGCGCCGCCGTAAAGAGAATGTTGTCGTGTGTCAAGACCTATGATAGCATAACGTGAGCGGATAGCTGTTACGAGCAATATGCTTCCTAGTACATAATGCACAAGGTGGCCGTCGGGTGCATATTGGCACGAGACGAGGCAGTCGTCGGTGGGCCGCACGAGCTGCTGGATAGCCTCGAAGCTCGCGTCCGGATGCAGCTTGCCGAGCTCGAGAAACTGATCGACCGAGTATACGGGCACATCGGTCGCCGGCAGCACGGCCTATGCTCGCCATTTCGCAACGGAGCAGAGAAGACATGACGAACGTACGCGAGAAGACCCGACGTAGATGATGCCAGCGAGGTGCGGGAGGAGCGCATAGTCGGGTAGGAGCGACGCTGCGTCCGTGACGATCCATTTGAAGCCAGGAAACGAGTGCCACATCGATTGCACTTCTTGCAGCTGGACGCGCCAGTGACACACGAGCGCGCCGGCGCCGACCACGCCCATGTTGAGAAAGGTGCACGCCGTCGGATGCGCGGTCATCTGGAAGAGCACGACGTCGTTGCGGGCTATCTCCATGGCCACAAAGCTCCTTGCAAAGTCGGCCGCTTGGCCGGCGTACTCGAGCCAGCTGTAGCTGCCCGGGCTCGCCGCGTTCGTGGACCAGCGCGTGATGGCAGCCGCGCTCGCGCTTGTCTCGACGGCCTCCATGAAGGCAGCCCATAGCGTCCGAGGCGGCGGTGGCATCGGCGTCGGCAGCTTGGAACTGCGACGGCTCTTGGTCGTCGCCATGACGGAGGTTTCTGACGCGAGCGCTGATTGGTCGACTTCCGGCCAACGAACGCGTGGGACATGGTGCCGGCTAATCGCACGCCACCAGATGTGTGCGCTTGGTGCAATTGACGGCCCGTTGGCATGCCCACGGGTGCAAAGGACCGTCGCAAGCGGGTTGCCAGCATCGACAGAAGCGCGGCTTGACGTCACACGGTCTGGCGCCCTTCCGCGCGAAAAAGTGCGTGTTTATAGACCCCATTTTCGACACGCCCAGGCTCCGTGACACCAACAGCGTGAACTTCGACATACGTGCCAAGAACCTTCACGACGAGCGGCTATACTGTGATTGAGAGGTCGATGCGTACTGTACATTGGCACGTCAGTGGCGCCGTGCGCAGAGGCAGGACCGACGGTTGAAAATTCATCGGGGTGCGTGCATTTAGACTCGTCCTGCGACACGCCGCGAGCCTGTGCCAAGTCTGGTTTCTGAGTGGCATCGCTTACGCTAGATCTGGTCGACGATTGTACCAGAAGACGCAAACGATGGCATCGACGCGAAGCAAAGCGCAGTCGCCAGAGCGAGCCGCGCGGGGATGAGGGACAAGGAGAACGTAGTATGGTCCACGAGCGCGCTGCTGTTCATTGACACGCTGTATCGTATTGCACACGTCACGCAACCCGAGTGAGTTTGGCCATCTGCCCTC